GCTTCTAGGATTAACTATTAGCAAACCAACTCAAAACTACAACAAAAACAAACCCACTGTCACAGAATGGATTACAACTCGAGTTTGTCAATTGGTTTCCAGGACTATAAATCTTTACAGGGATGACACTGCCCACCTTTCTCCCCGGAAGAACCTGGTGGATTCCAGCTGCAGACTTCTCCGTTAGCAGCTGACAGCTAACCAGGACTGGGACTGCTCTACCAGGGAAACAACAAAGGAGGGCTCTCATCAAAAAAAGAAGGCAGGTTTGAAAAAAAAAAAAAAAGAAGGCAGGTTTGTGTCCATTTCCCGTGGGTTGTTTCTGTCATGACGCTGTACACACTATTGTCCTCAATGAAGGCTCCAGGCAGACAGTATTTGGGGGGGACACTCACCAGAAGTCCCAGAGCTGAGTGAGGTCCTCACTGGGAATGTCCTGCTCTCCCCAGGTCCTTGATCCACGACAGACTGTGGCCGATTTTCTTCAATCAAGTCACAGCCGGTTGTTAGAAGATTCTGCTTTCAAGAATGAACGATGCTCCGCATGAGTTTCCTGGGAAGAAGCAGAAAGCCAGGCATTTCTTCCCAGATGCTTCGCTTTGCTTCGGAGTGGATTCACTGAGGTAGCAGCTGGCTCCCAAGGACTCCGTGGCTCAGAAGTAGGTGGAGGGTGGGGAGAGGAGGAAAGAGGAGGGGAAAAGAGAAAGGAAGAGAGGAAGGGGAGAAGGAGGATGCAGGGAGGACGGCCAGCCCCTGGAGGAGACGCACGCACGGAGAGGTGGGGCCGGTCCCAGTGCACCTGACTTTGAGAACCCAAGAACTTAACTCACCTCTGGCTCAGAGATTCCGGCAGGAGTAGCTGTGGCTGTGGCTCTGAGGAGCAGGGAGCAACGGCGGGGCTTGAAAGAGCAGGTGAACGGGCTCCATCCAGCTGGGGTGAGGGGGGAGGAAGGAGCGCAGGCCTGGGCGCTGGGACTCAGTAACCGCGTTAGTGTTTATTGTTGGAGAGCACAGTGAGGCCAACTGTCCTGGGTATGCAGCCCTCACCTGGCCACCCTGCGCTCTGGGATGTGGCGAAAAGACAGACATTTGAAGAAATAGCGTCTTCCCAGGCAGGGTCCCACCATCTTCTCACCGGGAGGCAGGCGCGCATTGGCTCGGGGTTGTATTCTTCCGATTGGTATGAACCATTCAATTGGTGGGGTGGCTGTGATGACTTCATGAGTGGAATCCGGCCGCTCACGTAAGACGACCAGGAGAGCTCCTTTCTCTTCCTCCCATGGAAATCCATTAGACCCGCCAGGTTTCGCTTCCTGCGCCTCCCTCCCAAGGCGGCCAGCCTCTATTGTCAAGGACTGTGTAACCCCCGCATTTCCATTGCACATGCTGGTGACTCTGCGCCAGGTCCGTGCCAAGGTCTCCAGAGTCCAGTCTGTAGGACACTCCTTATGTTCTCATCCCGTAGTGCAGAACCGAGCGCTCAGGGCTCTGTCCATGCCCAGAAAGGCGACACTCTAAACTGATGCCTTTCCGGCGCAGGACACAGCTCTCCTCTGAAATGCAGTCTCAATGGCCGGGCCCTAGGTGACTGGGGGCCCATCCCAGATGCCAGTATGCGCTCACGTCCTCCCGCGTCTGAAACTCGGACCTGGCAGCTAGCACCTTTCTGACCCCCCTCACCCATCAGTACCGAGAAGTTGCAGGTCCCGACAACGTACATGGCACTGTGACCCGATCCAGGACAGGACGTGGTTGTAGGTCATGGACTATGAGGACCTTGGGACACAGGAGTTGGTGAACTAGTCTCTGCCCCTCAAGCTCAAGGGCGGCTGAGCCCCAGGAAGTCTTCCCGCACCCTCAGCGCCAGCCTCACTGCCAGCGAGGTGGGGCGTTCTCAACGACATGGGCAAGGCTACTGGACACCAAGGTTTATTATATAAGAGGAAGGGCTTCCCAGACTAAGGAGCACTCAGGACTTGTCGGTTCTGGTATGAAGAAGAATCAGATCCATAGGAGACCCACCCAAGGCAGTACAGCCCCAGACTCCCAGGGGCTTTGGGAAAGAAACCAGTCACAGTCAGAGGCGACTGTGAGGACCGAGCGGGACTGGGCAGTGTTTCGACCCATCGCCCTTGGAGTCCAGCAACTCCACCACCAACTACCACCAGTCCGGGAGGCTTGTGCGCGCGGCATGCGGATAGATGACGCGAGGGAGAAAGATGGGCAATCTCCTCAGCTTGAGATTGACAACCTCAGAGGGTTCATGTGGATCAGAACTCTTTGACAATGACTTTATAGATGTATAACATTAGCTAGTAACTGGAGGAAAACATGGAAATGATTTTGAGGGGGTCACGCAGGACCGCGCAGCGTTTTCTCCTATTAGCTATGAGCCTGAACTAACATTATAGCACCAAACAGCGACAATGAACCACAAATTTTCTGAAGGGGTGGCTATTTCCTAGAGACAGACTTAAGCATTAAGCACTCTTCACCTATTCTTCGGTTTAAATTTTGCAATAACTCGCTAGGGATCGTATTCATTCCTTCTTTGCGGATGAGGAGTGGTTGAATTAATTTTGTCAAGGTCATGAACTGAATTTGAGGGGACCGGGACTGAAACTCAGGTTTCGCAGCCTTCAGAGTTCAAGTGAGTGTGGAGACACCTTTACAGCTGGGAACCACTGCTGCAACTCGTGATTTCTGAGGAGAAAGAGCTCCTCTCTGACCTACAGGATCTTCTTTTCTTGATTTTTCTGGATAATGAAATGCCTTGCCTGTCTTTGCAAAATTAAATAAATACAAGGAGCTCCCAGGCAGGTTGGCAAGCGGGGAGAGGTGGGAGCGCTCAGAAGGCCTCAGGTGCACAGCCGTGGCCAGACACCCCGCAGAGAGGAAGGCCAGCTGGCTCCAGGAATTGGAAGGCCTCTAAACCAGGACTGTGAATATGGAAACACATCCTCTGAAGCACTTTCTGCAGAGACTGTAAGAGGTGAAAGAAGCCGGACCCAGCCCTGTGCATATTTGTGGGTGCAATGCACTCTTCTGAGTGCTCACTCTCTGGTCTGCACTGCTTCCACACTAGGCAATGTGCACCCTGAACCCCCAACAACTTGTGCCTACAGTGCCTAAAAAACCAGATTTTTGTCATATAATTCTACTTTTAAAAAATCCACTGCCATATGCTGCCCTGACCCCCAAACCCAAGCATGGTGTTTAAATTATATATACAACTATGCCCACTTGCTGTACAGAGGTAACTCATGGTTGTTGTGAAGCCGAACACTGTGACACTGATGTGTCAAATGCAATAATGATTACCCATGGTGGACAGAGTTTGGTGGAGCTCCCCATTTAAAACAAGCTTGGAAGCAGGGGTGGCATCCACTTCTGATATACCTTGCCTCCGGAAACCCTATGAACCTGGAGAGAGGATGAAAGTTATACAGGTGTCCAGGTCTTTCGTTCAAACGGTGGCTATGAATCACTTACGACTCGATGGCACTTAACAACAACAACAACAACAACAACAACA